TTATATAAATTACAAGTGCAAAATGGAGCAAACAAAGCAAACAAGCACTCTATTGATCTTATTATATCGGGCATACACAGCCAGAAGTGAATAAATTAGCCGAATATAATGTAACCAATAGCAACATTTATATAATACACTTATTGACCAATATACATACATATGATTGATTTTACATAAAAAAGTACTTCTAATAGCTGTTATCACTATTTCATAAACAAAAATAAATACACACGTACAATCATATGAGACACATAAAGTGCAAAGCAAACCATAAAAGTAATCAGTGATGTGGAGTAGTTGTTACATCTCGAGTCAGTTATTTTATTATTTTTAAAATTTTATTTCTTTGTGTTCCAAGTGGAACATAGGGCTTCAAGCTTCAGTAGCGGTGGTGCTTTTAACGGGGTGGAGTTGCTATCCTGACACTCAACCGCCCCTGTTTATCGCGCTTATAACCGGCTAGGGGAGATAAAGATGTGCACCAGCCGGAAATCGAAACCCAGACCTCATGAGTGATCCGCGGGCCTCCTAACAGTGAACCACCGACGCATGGAGTTAGGACAGCAAAAAACGTGATCATACAGCAAAGTGTCAGTCTGCTTAAAAGCATCGCTAAGGCAGTAAAACGTTTTGATGTTTTACAATACCTTCACGTTGCTAGTATATTGAGCTTCCTGAATAAGAAACTTGGAATAACATAAAGGCTCCTCATGGAACCGCCCCAATTACTTACTATCTGGATGCGAAATTGCCAATATGTTTTGCAGACTTGAGAAAAATCCCAACCGTTCTTAATGTATAAGACCATAAAAATCTCGTCTTTTCAAATACTGGAAGAATATGAAAGATATATTTTTTTTAGTAATCATTAACATAATACACCAAGCCTTAGTTCTTATGTTAAACAAAAACTTCACTAATTATAAGTGTAAACGTTTTGGTATAGTGAATATATATGAGATTTCTTGAAGTATCTTATGTATGCACAAGTGTGAAGTAAACTGTCTGTTGTTTGATACTTTATCAAAGTTAGAAGATCCAGTGTAAGAGTAGAATTTGAGCACTATGGTAGATAAATCTGTTTGATATAAAACACAATGATACAGTGTTAATAACTGGATGACGTTTAGTGCACAGTTCATTGCTCGTAGTCAGAATATCAATGTATTCGCCAGATTTCATTCAAAAATATATGAAGACACATAAGAAAAATAAGACTAGTAATATAAATAATAAAGAATTCACAGCCTCAATAGTGCTGTCATATAAAGAAGGGGCATCAAAGGCCCTATGTAGGATTCCTTATAAGGTTGGAATTGGAGTGGCACTTACACCAACCAACCCACTCAGAGATGAACTTTGTCTACTTAAGAGCTCCATTGATCCAACTAGGAAAAATTATGCAATTTGCCAAATGTCATGTAACAACACTGTGGAGTCAATTACATACGACAAACTAGTAGATTGGCGTCAATTAGATTACCAGAAAATTGGAGTTTAGCCAGAATTAGAATGATTGACTCTCATAAATCAAGTAATTTAGAAAAAACCCTGTTATTGGGAAGTATTCACTTGCACTTACTCACACATTAGGGTGAGATTTGGTAAAAATATTAAAAGTTAATATGGTTAGGTGGAGAGAGAGTGAGAGAGGTTAATTACAGAAGCTTTATTCATTGAATCAACATCAAACACGTGCAGTGGAAATGACACAACGCCTTCACCGGAGAAATGGAAGATTTCAACAAACAACAAGGGGGAGAAGAAAAATGAAGCAAATTATGAAGCCATGTGAATAAGTTAATGTGATTATAAACTTAAACAAAGCAAGAACGACAAAATGTACCAGGATGATAAGAGCTGATCTTTGATTATTTCAATATGATTATGAGCAATAGATTGTGATCGAAACTTCATTCAGTTATTGGTAGTGTATCACTGCGTGTCCTATCAAATAAAATTTTCTAATATTAGAAGATCCAAGTTTCAAACATTAATATGATTAAAATACAGACATTCCAAAGAAATGTTAAGACCTACAGAGGAACCTCCATTTATGCCAGCACAGTTTCTTCGATAGTCGAGGTATGCCAAGTCATCCAACTCATCACATTAAGGTAAGCACGTGATCATGACACAGCTCTAACTGACTAATACTGGTGGCACGTTTTCATGGGCAATATGACGTTTTTGTTTAATTCAGTTTGAACTTTCCCGTTGACCAACTGGACCGAAGTGTTCGGCCTCTGTTGGTATGTTGGCGTCTTGTGAGGATGCTTGGATGATGTTTGAGGGGTAATTTAGCGGATCGTGACTCGCAGCGGAGTCGGGGATGCCTATTTCGTCCTATTTGAGACTTTTCATTTAGATGTGCCTGCATTCCTAGGGAATGATGGTGTTCCCAATGAGGCTCGAACCCAGTGATCATCGTTTCAAACGCCAACGCGTTATCCACCGGACCAATTTCCCGCACAAGGAGCCGATATATCAACAGAGGCCGAACATTTCAGTCCAATAAATCAACGGGAAGTTCCAAACTGAATTAAATAATAACTGTTACCTGTTGCACAAGAGGTGGCTTTTGTGACCCAGGTGGTTTAGTGGATAACAACTTGGCGTTTAAGACGATGGGAACGGGGTTCGAGCCTTAGTGGGAACACTGTCACTCCCTGAGAATGCAGGTACATTCAGATGACCAGTCCCAAACAGGATGACATGCACATCCTGGATTCCACTGGTGGTATAACATTCACCAAATTATGACATTTCTATATTTATATAAAAGTTCTCTTAAACAACCGGATGTTCACATGCATTACAAAGGAATTTCTCCTATATACAAGTCTCACTGATAATTTTATAAAGTTATGTGGACAGAGTTACTGCAAAGTAATCGAAGATTATTTCAGATAGTCATACCATAAACGTTTAAATATCTTCAAACTGACAGACCACTGAATTCTGTCCCAATGACTGAATAGTCAGCTGTCCAGTGCTCCCTTATTTTCAATGTTTCTCTAACTGATGTTGGATCTTGAAGAGGATCTACGTTGAAGTTAATCCAAATCTCTACAGAAGTCCACGATGTCCTGGAACTGTAGTGAGAGGTAGTGACCAGTGGTATCCACCGTATCAAGGTGAAGTGGATGCTCATTGAAGGTGTTATATCACGAACTGACAGGAAGTAGAATTTCTCCTCGAGATGCTGAATAGTCGACGAATTGGTCTCGTAACCGTGTTCGATCTCTGGTGGGGTTGTGGGTGCACATTGACGAAGATTCCCGAAATAGTATGAAACAGGTGTCCAGTGTTCCCTAATTCTCGATGATACCAGATTGATTTTGTTTCCTGGCGAAATATACACTGAAACTAATCCCAATCCCTACAAAAAACTCATGATATAAACACTTATTAGTTGAAATTTCCTTGGGATATTGTGGCATGTGCTACTGACAAAAACTTATAAGCAATATACTCTGTATGTGTTGTGTTCTTCTACAAGAATCTTCAATAGGGGAGAAACGGAATAAGTTGCTGAAAGGAGAAATCAAGCATCTCAATAAAGCAATATGGAAAGCATGAAAGGGAGACAACAGAAAATATACTGTAAGGTTTCTGTATATTGCCATCACTGTATACCACTTGCCAAATAAACAATTCTGCTATCGATTATATAACTGTGTTCTGCCGCTACAACATCTGAAGCAACAAGTAGTTTGCAGCGTGCTACGGGTCTTCTTTGACATAATTCAAATTAACTTTTCATCAGATATGTACTGCAAACACATATATGCCACAGTTTCAATTTTCTGCATTGAGATATTCACATCTGCTGGACACATCTGCCCTAAATAGCTTGAGGTATCTACTATTTTATTCGATTAATCAATGATATTCAACTTTAAGTGTTGGTTTGCACGGATTTGATTGGTTACAGGATTTTTCTGACCGATGTCAGCTGATATACAACTTTACTTGAACTGAAATTTCAGACAGAATCTCTGCAATCAAATTTAGATTATTTAACGCCCTACTGCTGATTACTCACAGCCAAATAAATTTATCCTATCAAAAGAGAATTATAGAATCTGCACGATTTCAATATGAGAACACACACACGCGCACATGCGACTACACGTTTCTAGGCCAAATAAACATATGTCACGTTACCATATAATCGATTCATTATAAACATTTATTATCATACATTCAGCAAGTAAAGATCTGTTTGCCATGGTAATTTCACATATGCAAAAACAGTCAACAGGTATTCTTGCATATACCAAACACAACTAAAGGCAAGAGAGTCAATTGTTGAAGAGCACTTAGATTACATAGAAATACTAACAAAGTGTGTGCCACAGTGATAAGCTTAGAGTTTTAATGGCTATTAGTGCAATCGGAATCCTAGGATTTTTTAATTTTTGACCATCCGCTAATGAACGAAAGGTTTATTAAACAAATTTTACTTATGCCTGATGCATTGATATGAACATCATCATTAATGAGATGATTTTGAAGTAACAATTTATTTCATAATTTATTGAAGAATAAAAAAACAAGCACCTTTCAGTGTCTTTCTATGATTATAAAATACCAAGAGAAATAATGACCAACCAGTTGAGGGAATCGATTCAAAGAACGTTTAATACTGGTAAACTACAGTAAAACTGTGTGCGTCGTTGGCACAGTGGTTATGACTCTCGCCGATCATGCACATATTCCTGGGTTCGATCCCATGCCGACGCACACCTGATATCTATGGTCGACCTGCAAAATTTGGGCTACCGATATCACATGCTGAAAATTTCATACCAAAAAATAAAGAAATAAATAGAAAACTATCCGCGCAACCGCTTGAGATTCCTTAACTGAAAGATGAAGTACCTACGCTAGTCACCTGTTATTGTATTTGTCAATTCAACTCATCTTGTGTGGTGTCAGTTACATTCGCTGTTGCTCGAGGAACTTATTTTATCATGCTCAGGAACACCTACCAGTGTAGCTGAATAAAAGTGTGATTGTAACCATCAGCGGTTCTATATTAGATCACCTCGTCCAAACAGACCACTACATCTATCGAGCATAAAGTAAATTATCGAATACCTCTGGATACTGAACATTCCAAACAAAAGAGGCCATTGTAGTTCGGTTAAATCAATCGGAGCTCTGAGTGCAAAAGAAACAACTGCAGCCAATACTGCTACCCTGATCTGCTGCCGAACCTGTGAATTTATAAATCATGTGATACCAATTTAAAACAGCATTAATGTTGTCAATATCAATAATTCTTCAATTATTATGATCATATAATCATAGAACGACATGACGATTTTATCGAAAAGAATATTCTTTGTTCACCAATAAGTCTTTTAAATAAAATAATGGATTCTATTTCCAGGTGTTGGGTTATAAATGTTTAATCGATTTCAGGTTAGACATTGTCACATTAACTAGAGAACCATTGGAAGCTGGGGGCTTCTAGACAGCCGTCTCGTCCTACTTTGAGACTCCTCAGCAGTTTTCATCAGAGGTCCCACTAACTTAGTACCTTAAGGTTACGAGGTGAGGCCACTCAGCCACTGGGTAAGAATACAATGACCTATGAATTCTAACTTTTAGTGGCTCGTGACATAGCACCAATGGGGCACCCAATATCAACAGCGAGTATCCACCCTCACACCTGAGTTCGATCCTTGCGGGGGGGGGTGCTTGGCGCGCATTACTGAATAGTCTCAAACTAGGTCGAGACAGCTGCTCAGTGGTCCTCTAACTAATGTCCGTCCGTATGGAAATCTATTATGAAGTAAATTATATTCAGAGACGATTTATTGAAAAAGATATGTGTACGCATACGTCGGTGTACAAAATAACTCAAATATAGCAAGGTGGTATATGGTACTGAATATGTGAGCAATTGAAAACCACTCACATCAAACAGTAGTTCTTCCTAGTCAAGTGGAAGTAATCAAAAAATTGGTTGACCTGTGAATGTTCTTAGTTTTCAAAAGAAACCATATTAAATTTTCACCTTGAACTGTGTAATTTGCAAAAAATTATCGAATTAAGTGGTTAAAAATTTCACACAAAATTAATATTTCCTAGATTATTCTTGTTTTCGATGCAATGATAGGCCACTGTATTAAACCAAATTATAACGTAAAGCTACACGACAGCCTGTATGTTAGTATATGAAAAGATGGGTTTGAATCTACGACAAACTGATTAATGGTTTAGGTATTGAAAAGTACTGAGTGCAAACTTCACAAGTGAAGGGAAACCCAGAGTTAAGTTGAATGTTTTTACCTTGAGTTCTACTGATGACAAAGCTACACTAATCATGGTGAGATATATACACTTACGACTCACTAGATTTGGAGATATGCATTCCACTGATACCCTACAGTTTCATAATGTGCTCTATGTTTAAGAATATATGAAGTCATGCACTTTAAACATGCATCATAAAACCAGGTAGAGTTTGAAGTTAATGAGGCTGACGAGTTGTGTTAGAGACAGTTCGGAAAGGAGGAGAACAACTAATAAGCAAGACCAGAAATTCGAAAATAGTAAGTTTTGGCACACTAACGAGTAGTGTTACCTAGTTACCTACTTTTCGTAAACTAAAGATACACAATTTTTGTACTGGTAGTATTATGCATTCTTCACAACAAAAGATATAAAGGTCAGTTCGTTTACTGGGAACACGAAAAACATACAAACTTATGCCCTGGGCTATAAGCCTTATTCACTATATGAAGACTTGTGACATTATTTAAGTTTTAGTATGTTATGTTGCATATCAAACACTTACTAAATGAGAGTCGGCTGACTAGTCGTATGACTTCACTCACTATAAGAATGTGATTAATTTCGATGATATGTGCTGGAATAGTAGTGTAGCGATAGAACAAGTTAATATTTGATAGTAGAATTGGTTGTTTGACACAGTGATGCCAAAATACAGATTTCTTAGATTGGAATTTGGATCTGCACAAGTCCTTCGTATTCTGCTTCTTATATCCTCGTTTTATGCCTTCCGTATTGTCTCACAGTGATATTTATTTCTTCTCCTCGCTATTTGATTCATAGGTCTACCACTAGAGACCCTTGCCGAAAACGTTGCACACAACATACTACTTACAAACTCTTTTCAGTAGCATACATCTTTAGAGGATGAGCAATTACTTATTACAGTTGACTATTTCGACTAGCATGTTAACAGCCTCCATTGTTTGTCTATTAATCACTCCAGAAAGGATTTCTTACCTTCAATGATAAGGTAAAAATGTTGGTCGTATACAAACAGGAATTCGTCACCTAAAGCAGACCTATAAGCAGAATCGCTGTTGGGAGCAGTAGACTGAGTTTTCCAGTTTCCTTTTTAATTGGGTTTTGTACTTTAATATCACACCAGAACAATAAGCGGATAAGAAACAAACATCTGTCGGTATGATAGAAAATTAATCACCACGCTCCAATTAGCTAAAGTTACGATATCACCGAGGCATAAATTAGATAATTTACAATTAATTTACGGCTGAATGCTTGAAATTTAATTTAAGTCTGGTTTTGTGTTTGAATATAACAGCACCTAGCCTGTAAAAAACCGAAATGCAGTTGTTGTGATTGTACTTAAAGTCAGCCAACACTTATCAGTTGTGGGTCGAAGGTTTAGTGATAAACTGCCCGTCAGCCGCGTGCGAGGTTCGCGTTCGATTCCTGGCCGACGTAATCCTAAACTGCCTAGTTTACTAACCCGTTACAAGCCCAGAAAAGAGTGGAGGTTGAGCGTAAAGCTAGCAAAACCATCTCGTAAAAAGGAAACATTACCATGACTACTGAAATGTCAAAGTTTGTAACCATATGTCCCACTCGGGACGCAATGAATGAAGACAGTAATTACCAATTAAACTTGAATAGACAGACTTTGTGATTCCAGTAAAAAATTACGTTTCATTCAGCTTTTCATTGCCCTGACCTATTTCACATTAACTGGGTGAGAAGTATACAATGCACAAAAAACTAAAATAAAGGTTACTTTCAATGAAATCACTCACGTGGTCGACGTTGATAAGCAGCAAGAAAGTATTTAGTCGGTAGACAGCCTTCACTATTCCCTTCACAAAGAATCACATTATTTTTTGATAGATAAAATTTATAGCCATCATTCACTGCTTTCATAATGTCAATATAAATGACAATCTCAGCACTGGATCGCATTCCACTGATAACACCTGATTCACCAACTTCTCCAGGAGCAAAATGTATATGTGTTCTACCCATACGTTTTAAGCCTTCCCTGCGGATACCATCCCAATTACGAAAGTAAGTTCCGTGTACAACAGTTGGATAATCCTGAGGATTTTCAATCAGTGTTATATCAAGCCCTTCAATCTGTAAGATAGTGAAAAGTAGATGCACAAACAATATACATTAAAACAAACTGATAGTAATATTTGAAATAAATTGCTGACTATTAGTGAAAGTATCACCTGAATCCAATGTGATTACACGATAAAGCAATGAAGGAACGAAGTGAGTATCATAAACTAACATAAGTGATAACATGATGTCTAGTGTTGGCCATCACTTCAGACAACAGTTATTGAATATAAAATATGAGAATTTTGTGTCGGGTTACTTTACTTTTGCTAGACAGTTTCAATAAGTAATGGCGACTGAAGAGAATAGTACTAGTTGTTACTTCTGCAAAAATTTATGTGAGTAGTCTAGGGAGTGAGTTGTAATGGGGATATTTTCAACAATAGTACCACAGTACTATTTATGTCAAGGGTTCTCAAGCTATCTAGAAGTTACCCGATCCACGCTGATAAATTAAAAGAGTGGTTTCCTAAATAAAAATGTCTAAAAGTACAATTCATTATTTTATGGCATCCTTCAGAGTGAAATCACAACCGGTGATATTGAACATCCAGTTTTGAATGAAAGTCCTGATCAAAAAGGTATTCAAATGCAGGAAATATCTACATAGTATACAACTAATAGGCACTTAGCAAACTGTTAACATTAAGAATTTTGGGTATTTTTCTTAAATTTAAACGAAAGCGTGATACATTTTATTATTATGGTGAAGTATTGTAAAACAAAGGAGTTACAGGCATTTTTTTGCTGAAGTTTGGGATTCGTTAGTAGTACACACATGATCTCTTTCATTTATTTGTCTGGGAAACAACATTTCAACTAGAGACGGCAAGGATGATGATTTCAAAGCCAGACATGATCATAAAAGAAAGACAGACCTTGATTAATCTGAAATCAGTTTGTAAGTCTACTGTACCCCGCACAGAGAACAAGATTCGAATCTTCAACACTAATGTCAAATCATTTAGTGCTTCTGTATCATTCAGAGACTTGGTGCTCGCGTCACCAAAAGCACTTGCAACAGACTGCGCCCTTTTTATCAACAGATGCCTTTTCTGTCTCAATAATGAAGATCAGATGGCCAGAAAGAATCAGTGGCAAGTAACTCTGGAGACGAACCAAACAAGAATCCATTGGCTCAACAAATATTCCGACGAAAATGGAAAGGACAGGCGCTGAGGAGACCGTCGAATGACATTGCACGCCGGGCCCTCTAGCGGAATTTGAATGGGGAACGATGAGTTGGGCGTGGGTCCTTGAGTTATTTGGGGGAGATGAGAACTTATCATCAGTCGTGGAGCCAGCCAAAGAGGACTGTAGAGAGCAAGATAAGTAGAAGGTATACTGCTGAGGCTCTATGTTCCATTTGGAACCTAAAGGATTGGTCGTAATACTCACACATTAGGTTACTAGAGGTAAAATTTAGTATCGTCGGACCTTAAGGTAAGCAGTGGGTAAGGATTTAATGGTTAACGATTTTCAAAATATGTCATTTAGCTGAATAATGTCATTACCATTCACTGTTACAAGAGACCATCCGTCCTCACGCTTGAATTAGTGGAATGCACAGGTTACAACTTCTTGTTCCATACTTGAAAATCCGTATAGAAGGTATTGGAGATAGTGGGTTGATTTGTGGGCGCATATATACACACAGTTTTATGAAAACCAGTGTTTATTGTATCGATGATCAGTAATGACAAAATCTTAGTATTCTTACCAGATCATATAGTTTATTTGATATGACACACAGTGATACAGTATTAATAACTGGGTGACGTTTCGAGAACAATTCATTACTCATAATCATATCAGTGTTTTGATAGTGTCTCATTGATAACCTCTCTCCTCTTATCAGGATATTTTTCTTCCACTAGTTTGTTGAACTTGTTACTTTGAGTATTTCTGCATTTATTGAAAGCAACTGATCTTTCCTAATTGGTTGCTTTAAGTCTAATTTCATAGTCTTTTTTATTCGCCACTTTTCTCAGTTTAAACCTAAAGGCAGTTAGAAGTTAATTGGTGGATGATGACTAGCAATGGAATCCAGGATGCGCATTTCGTCCTATTTGGGACTCGTCATCTGGATCTACCTGCATTCCCCAGTGAGCGATGATGTTCCCACCGAAGCTCGAACCCAGTGCACATAGTTTCCAACGCCAAAGCGTTATCGGTACAAGAAGCCGACATATCAACCTGAGACCGAGCACTTCGGTTCAATCAATCGACTGGAAAATATTAAATTCAATGGAACTAAAGGCAGTTAGTTTTATGACAGTGTTTTTGAGTTATTCTCTTCAACACAGTTTACTGACCTGTTTTTCTGCTGCTTTCATCTGATGCTTATACCACGATATTAGGGAATCATGCGATTTTTAATACATCGTAAGCTAAAAGTCGTGCTTCTGTCTGTGACAGTCGTGTGAGTTTACTGATTACTTTCCGAACAGGAAACCCACAAGTATGATTAATATAAGAAGGAAGTTTTGGCGCTATGGTAGAATATAACTCCCCATATCAGATAAGTTAATCAGATATAACACATAGTGATACACTGTGGATGACTAGATGACGTTGTTAATCGTTGGTAATGAGGGCAACACAGTACCGAAATTCTGCACTAACATTTTGTGCATTTAGATTATGGGATATGGATTAATTTCTTTTATTAGATTTCGTCATGGACCACCGTCTGTTAGGGAGATCATTTAAAACTGAGGAGCACTGGACAGCTGTTTCGCCCTTTTGTGAGGACTTTTCGGAAGTGCTCACCCACCAGGAATTGAACATAATTAAGTTCTTGACCACTCAACCAATTGGTTGGGAATTCAATAAGCTATGAATTCTGACATTGTCATTTCGTGATATAACGCCACCCACACCAACCAGTGCCTTCGATGATACAGTGCATTGGCAAAGATGGAATTCATGGCTTATTGAATTCCAGCCCAGGTGGTTGAGTGGTCACCGAGCTTCGTCTCATGACCTGAAGGCCCTGAGTTCGACTTTTGGTAAGGTCGTGGGTGCGAGAAATTATCAGTATTCTTGACCATTTCATTAGTTAGGCAATCATCTTTCCTGTCAACACACACATTAAACATTTGAAAATACTTTTTATAGATACAGTGGGGCAACAGTAAACAATAGACACCAACTTCAGACAACCTTGAAAAAACCAATCAGGTTTTAGGTGAAAAGTTGGTATTTGATGTACAAAAAAATGTATTTATAATATACATATTACAGAGACGAATTATGCAGGGTATCAATCCCTAATATGCTGTAAAAATCAGTCCCAGTAAGTCATAGGAGTGTCTGCAGACATATAAAACCAGTGTCGATTCAAAGATTCATCTAAGTGGCTGTTTATCATATTTTACTAAGGGAGAGTTTCGATTTCGAGAGGAAGGCACCTAAAAAATCCCATAAATAACGACTAACCAACCCATAAAGACTTATTCATTTAACATACAACCATGGTTGTACCTAAATGCATGACCATCGAAAGCCCGGCACTACTTTTGCAAAGTCATTGTCCCTCCTCATATCAATCTTTTAGTCCTCCCTATCAACCTATTTTCCACAGAGAAATCTAGGTGAAGCTGGTAAAGATTATTATGAACAGATTTCATTTGCAATGCAGAGCGATCTGAGTGAAGGTCACTTGACTTTGGTGTCTATTGTTTACTCTTGCCTGTAGTGGGTTTATTGTTAAGTCTCAGAAATATGTCGAACATCCGTTAACACATAATATGCGGTTCGTGTAACACTGATTGGGAAAAGTGAGGTGTGCGAAAGCTCTTGTAATATACAGTTCTTTTTTAGATGGAGGTGGCATTATATCGCAAAATGACAGAAGAAGGGATTCATGTGTCAGTGGATTCCAACTCCGTAGTCAGATGCTCAAATGGTTCACTTATTAACCTGAAGCTCCTGGGTTGGACCCCAGACAGTGAGAAGTTACACGCTGCCAAACAGCCTCACACTAGGACGAGACAATTATTCCCTTCTTTCTGCTTCTCTAAATGATGTCATCTGTTAATGCAATCTGCCTCGGAATTAGTCAAACTCCTAGAGCCTAACGGTTGAAAATTACGTAGTTTTCCTTTCGTTTTTTGTCTTAAACCTGTGTATTTCTCCATAATGAACGTCAACATAACAGTCATTGGGCTTTGGATTACTAGCGATATACGTTAATCCGTTTCATGATCATACTGAAATTATCTGATTTGTGCATTACGATACAATGGGAATTACATTATAATTGGTCAACCGTAGATAAGCTGTGATTTCATTGGTCACCTATTTCTCATCCTGTGGATTATTTGTCTCAATAACCAATAGAATTCTTCCTTAGTCATAATTATTAACAAATCATCAATTGATTTTGTAGTCTATGTATAGTCGGTCTGAATCATGCTAGAGTATGTATCATTCTCCATTCCTAAAATAAACTATTTACCATTGTGTTTTTTTTATCAGAAAAACAAAAGAAGACAAATTTGGCAAAATTGAATGTTTCTATCATCTAATAAAATTTAGGTCAATTAAATTTATTTTCAACAGTATACAAAATATAAGCTATTGAGGTATGCATTTCATTTTTGGCGTAATTGAGTGTAAATGTTTGGACATACATTTAGTCCACCAGTATGTACACTGAGATGTAAATATCTAAATCACGTCAATAGTATATTTCAAGCCAATCCAAAGTTCAATTTTTTTTAAAAAAGAACAACAACAACAAACAGAAGTATTTCTTACATTTTAAGTGCAAATATTAGCTTAAAATGAACGTTGTTCTATATCTTGATAAGTGAAATAAGGCATCTTTGGATCTCAGTTATCCAGTTTAAGAGCCAAAATTATTGTATGAGGCCTGACTACATCCACGCAGCTGCTCAGGGTGAATTAAGTGAAACAGAGTTCAAATCTAGAACCCATCGGGTGAATGTATATATATATATATATATATATATGTAACAACAGAAGACAAGGGCCAGGCAACAGAA